TGAATCAATCAAAAGCGCTGCCAGTTCGATTCCTGAACGAATGACACTTCTGAGCTGATTCTTTTTAGTGAAAACATACAATGAAGCCCACCTTGTGTAGTCCGTTTCCCGAATAAACGACTCTTATGAGCCGCTTTTTCTTCAGTCAATTAAAAATATAGCGCTACCAGTGTTGTTTGATTCCCGATCGAGTGACTTTTATGAGCCACTCTGTTCAGTGAATCAAAAGTATACAGCGCTACCAGTGTAGTTCGATTCCCGAACGAATGATTCTTGTGAGCCGGTTCTTTATAGTGAATCAAAATAAAATAAAATAAAATAAAAGCATACAGCACAGTGCATTTGTGTGGTCCGATTCCCAAAAAAATGTGTAATCGCAAAATCGGACTATTATATACCAAATTCATACTGCGTGACCAGTGTAGTTTGATTTCTGAACGAATGACAATTATTTAATTATTTTTAGTAAATAAAAAAAACCATAGTGCGCGCTACCAGTGAAGTCCGATTCCCAAAGGAATTAACTTTGTAAGACTTTTTTTATTCAGGAAATCAAAAAATGCTGTGTAACCTGTCTAGTACGTTCTTGAACAAATGGCAACGAGTCTGTCCTTTTTTAGTGAATCACAAAAATGGACCAGTTTACCCCAAATCAAAAACATATTGCACCACCAGTGAAGTCTGATTCTTAAAGAAATGATACATGAACCAGTTCATTTTCCTAGTGAATAAAAAAAAATGTGACTCGCTTTACCAAAATATTCAGCCGAAAACCCTCTCACAAAAGGAGGCTGCTGTATCTCAAGTAGCCTACTAAAAAAACTACAATAAATGTTTCCGAAAAGTGAACTCTAACCACTAAAGTGTCATAAAAGATGATTTGATATGTCATTTGTTTCCTTCATCTAGGAAGTGGAGACTCGGACGGCACACTGGAACCTGTACATCAATCTGGGTGGATTTGTAGTTGGGCTGATCATGGTGACCCTGCTGGGCCATGGAGCGACCGTGCAGGTCGGCGTCTTGTTCTGATCATCCCTTCCCTTGGCCTGGCTGTTCAGGCGACTGTGTATTTGATTGTAATGTACCTGAAGCTGCCTGTGTTCTGGTTCTTCATTGGGAGAATCTGCAGCAGCCTGTCTGGGGACTTCAACGCCATTTTGGCCGGTTGCTTTGCATATGTGGCTGACACAAGTGCCAGGGGTTCTCGTACCTTCCGTGTGGCAATACTAGAGGCTTGTCTGGGGTTGGCTGGTATGTTTGCGAGCATCATCGGAGGACAGTGGCGAAGGGCACAAGGGTATTTGTCAACTTTTCATACAAAAAATGTAATATTTCTTAGATTAAAAAAAACAAAAAAAAACAATGTTGTTTGTTTCCCTCTAGGTATATCAACCCATTCTGGCTGGTATTGGCCACAAATCTTGCAGCGGCCCTTTACATATACCTTTTTGTGCCTGAAACGGTCACCCCTGACCCAGAGGCAAAGCTCCTCTCCACCAGGCACCACCGGGCCGTCTACCGCCTCTATGCATCTGATGCACCGCAGGGGCGTAGAACTAAACTCTGGTTGTACACTCTCTGCTTCTTTTTTGTGGTGTCTGTACATTTCGGCTGCAGTGACCTCTATGTGCTGTATGAGTTGAGCGCTCCGCTCTGCTGGGGTCCAGAACTGATCGGTTATGGCTCTGCGGCCAAGCATCTGGCCTACCTCACTAGCCTGACGGGGCTGAGGGTCATGCAGTGCTTTCTGGAGGACTCCTGGGTGGCTTTGGTGGGCCTTTCCTCTAATGTAGTTGGCTTGATTGTGTTTTCGGTTGCTAACACTACAGCTCTGATGTTTACAGGTAAGATCTCCTATTCATAAATATATATATATATATGAAGAGTTCAGATGCAAAAGCCTGAACTCTGTTGAAAAATTGTTGTCAGGCTCCTATGTGTAAGTTCAGTCATTTCACGTTAATGGCAATGAATTGGTTCTTTTCATTGCCATTAAAGTGAAATAACTGAACATAAACATAGGAGCCTGAGAAAAATTATAATTTTAGAAGAAAATTTCAGACAGCACTTAGAGGCTTTTGCATCTGAACTCTTCATATAGAGTTTTATATATATATGTGTGTGTGTGTGTGTGTGTGTGTGTGTGTGTGTGTGTTTGTGTGTTTTTGAAAGAAGTCTTTTATGCTCTCCAAAGTTGAGAGATGACAAAGCTGAATTTTCAGAAATATGTTACTTTCTGACAAATCTAACAAAAGAGACTTTATTTACACTTAAAAGGGTTATAGTTAGGGCTACCAGTCAAATGTTTGGAATAATTAAGATTTTTTTTTAATGTGTGTGTTTTTGAAAGAAGTCTTTTATGCTCACCAAAGTTGAGAGATGACAAAGCTGAATTTTCAGCAGCCATTCATGTGACACTGAAGAGTCCAGTCTTCAGTCACATGATCCTTCAGAAATCATTTTAAAATGCTGATTTGGTGCTTAAGAAACATGAAACATTTCCTGTTATCATTGTTGAAAACACTTGTGCTGCTGAATAATTTTGTAGAAACTGTGATACATTTTGTCAAGATTTTTGTTAAATATAGAGTTCAAAAGAACAATGTTTATTTGAAATAGATTATTTTTGCAGCAATATAAAAGTCTTTATTGTCGCTTTGGATCAACTTCATGGGTCTTTGCTGAATAAAAGTATTTAATTAAAAAACATACTGACCTAAAACCTTTAAATATACCTATACGATATATATGTTTGCGGTTGTATATAAGTATATTATAATAATATATTTTATGTTAAATATCTGTATACAATTTTATCTTATATTATAAATTTAAAAAAAATATATATATTTATTAACTGATTATGCTAGTATATACTGATTGTACTAGTTTAAAAATTTATTATTTACTGGTTAACACAATCTTAATTACACATATTTATTTTATATATTACAAAAAAAAAAGTACAGCCAACTGTCTGAAAACCGTGAAAAGTAACACTATTCAATTAAATGCATTTATCTGACACTTTTCCAGAGTATGCATTTAAGATATTAGGTTAATGTTCTACTATTTAGATACTGTTTAGCCCTACATTACAGGATAAAGGTCAAGATGCTGTTTCAAGACATTTCGAAATATGTGCTGTGCTGATGCAACCTAACGTTGTCCTCCAATGGCTGCAGTAGGTAAATGTGCATAAAGGAAATGAACTTGCAGAAATGACAGAAACTGCTTATCTATCTGTCTTTGTCAGGATATGGGTTGTGCTTCCTTTTTATGGCTTCTACCCCAGTCCTGAGATCGAAACTGTCCACGCTGGTGGACCCTGCAGAACAAGGTGAACTAGAACAGCCTTGCTTCACAAAGAATATTGTTGAATGACATGGAACGTTTTATTTATTTGTTTGTTTGTTTTCTTTTACTTCATCCTAGGTGCTCTGTTTGCTTCAGTGGCGTGTGTGGAAGGCCTGTGCTCACTAGTATCTAGTGGGGTCTTTAACTCTCTGTACCCTGCCACCCTACACTTCATGAAAGGATTCCCCTTTATCTTTGGGGCCGTCATCCTCTTTATACCAGCTGGCATTATCGGGTAAACCCTCATTGATCATTAATTATGATTTTAGGTTGTAAAGTTAATTCAGGATAAGTGGGCCATTTTTTTCCCAGTTATCTCGATGGCAAAAAGTGGCCCATTTACCCAGATTCACCCGGCCTAAATGAACCATATCAAAATTATTTTAAAGTTTATATCGGATTTAGATTTAAACAGAATTATGTCAGCTATATATTAATCTAAATGTTTTTTTCTTTGATGTGTACAGTGGGCTTGGATTGCCAGGAGAAGAAAGAGAGCAGAGAAAATAGAGAAGGCTCTGGAATATCCTGACATTGACTCTGTGAGAGTTATGCTAGATCCAAAATATTCTAAAGCTGACTGCTAATAGAGTGCACAAAAGGGAGTCATGTGCAATACGAATATTAGTCTGGGCTTAGTTTTTTGTTTTTTTGTTTGTTTGTTTTTTTAAAGAAATGATTTTATTGAGTAAGGGCAGCTTTGCCATTACACAAATTACATTTTATTTTATTTTTAAGTTAAAATAGAAAACACTTATTTTATAATAGTATTTTACGATACATATTAATGTTTTACTGTATTTTTGATCAAATTAATGCAGTCTTGGTCTTCATAAGAGACTGCAATTTGTGAACCTCATCCGATTCCAGCATCAGCAGTTTTGGACATCAGCCATTTACAGTGCAAGCAAACCACTGGTAGATAGATTTCCCCAAAAAGTGTTAACACTGTGACTGTGGTGCTATCAAAACATTGTTTCAGCATCCTGACCGGCCAGACACAGCAACATTAGCTCAACCAATGGCGTGAGTTTGGGTCGGCCAAGTTTAGGAACTTGTTTTTGTAATTCTGTTTTATGAAAATTAAACATTTAAAACAACTGCGAGTATTAATCTATGAGTAACAGCCACACTACAAATTCAGGACCCACGATCACAGCTTTGACCCATCACAGTAATGTTCCTCCTTTTGATAACAAGCTTGTCAGTTGTGTTCTAGATATGTCAAATCTGTGAAGCAGGTGATAATTATGTGGATGTGAGACTGTTAAATTATGGCTGTGTGGTTTGGCAATATGCTAACAGGAAGTGAAAATATGAAAAACATCTTTGTGTTTTGTGTATGTCTAAATTTGTCAAAGCCAGTTATCTCAGCAGTGTTATACAAGAAAATGTGCATACACTGCAGCAAAAACACAAATGTGGACTAGCAGAATAAAGGGATGTTTTCCAAAACAAGCTTTATTGCTGTTTATTTCTGAAAAAAAAGAACATTTCATTATTTAATTGTACAGATGTTACACGCTGCATTACACCTGAAACACTCGGATAAATATCATAAGGCAACAACAGGGAGCTCAATGGCAGCATAGAGCTTGAGGTGTTAAGAGCTGTTAGTAAATGTTCATCCACATTTTCCTTGACCGAATGCATTTTCACAGTGACTGAAAATGTATCATTGACTTAAAATTGCTGCATAATATTCTCGCAAATCCTAAGAAAGCCTCTACACCAGTCTTTTGAGTCCTGAAACTGTTGTATCAGGGTTTGTTTCTAATACTGCATGAAGTGATTAATAACTATAATGATTCATCTTGAGCTTTATGAACTGTTGTGAAATATTCTTAGAGGTGAAAAATGTGTTATTTGCCTTTTGAATGATGCACTGTACATAATATCAGAACTTACTTAACATAACAACCTGCACAAACCTGTAGTTAGAAAAAAGAATGGACTATTTGTGGATTAACTAACTGAACTAGAATAAAGGAAATATAAAAACTGATGTTTAACATTTCATAAGGCTTTCTATAATGCGAGATTATCTAGTACTATCTGACTATGGATTGACTGACTATGCTTAGATTTATCCTGATGTCATAAATACGACGCGTAATGCAGAAATCGTTTCAGCTTCCTGAGTTACAGAAATGTAACACAATTCTGGGAGCACAGTCAGTACAGTTTGATTACTAATGCACAATTTAAGGAGTATTCAGTGTTATTTAGAGCCACAAATGCTGTCGACAGACATAAAGCTGTAAATAACTCAGAATAATCTTTAAAGTGCGGTCACATTTACTTTTGCGAATTTTGCGAAAAAACTCAAATCAGTATATAGGAATCCATCATGTGATGGTGAAAAATTTCCACGTGCAGATTTCACAACGGGTTCAGGTTAAGTCACACAAACTCACCACATTGACCAACAGACAGCTACTTGGTTTGAAAGTGACTTTTATGTTAGTGATGCTTCATATATTGCTACACAATTGACAAGATGGACTGTTATTCCCCTGTAAAATATTGCCAAAACTTTGCTAATGTGACCGCACCTTGTAAATTCCGTTGCATCTTTGGGTAGGTTACACTTATGCATCTATCTAGACCATCTACATGCATACAACCAAAGGAAACACTGGCCTCTGAGGGGTAAGCAGGTGTTTTCTGATTACGCGGTGGTCATTATTGGAAACACCTACTTATTAGGCATAATAAAGGGCTTTTTATTGGTCAGATGTATGTTTTATTTCTTTTGGGGCTCTTTTTTGTCTGTTTTTGCTCCGTCTGGTTGCTCTTTGCTTGGGCATCCCTTGAGGAAGCGCAGAATCTTTTCGATAGTGGCTTCTTGATACTCATGGGACCACCTGTGACATTGAGAAGAGATTTACGTTAATTATTTTTACAATTAGATTATTTCAGATTCGTGCCTACATTAAAAGCTTTTATTGATCTGGTGTACAATTTTAACAACTACAAGTTACTGAGCAGAGGAAAGCATATTGTATATCATAGAATGATTGCACCAACGTGTTTAGTCAGGCAGAGTGTTGACTCACTTAATGCCATTAAATTTGAGAATGCTGCTCATGTCCTCTGGCAGAGAGGCCGGATCAGGCCACACAAAGTTATCAGTGACAGGAACAATGTTCTTCTTCCCATTCAGGGCGGTGACAATCTCCTGTGGATAACATAAATCAAAATGTTTAACCTCACACAGCTGACAAACAATATTAATACACCTAATTACATATTTCAAGGTGTTGGCAGAAGGAAGTTTTGGCAGATTTAAGGATTCTCAAACAGAGATTCTAATTGGGATAATGACTGAAGCTTTCAGGAGTGTATTTTCAGTCCAGTTTCAGCATTCGACCTGAACCTTGAGTAAATATGGCTTTGTTTTAGTGCTGGGCAACGATTAATCGCATCCAAAATAAAAGTTTTTGTCTATATAATAAATGTGTGTACTGTATATATTTATTATGTATATATAAAAACACACATACAGTATATATTCAGAAAATATTTACATGTATATATTTATATTCATATAATTTATATTATATATAAATACATTTAATATATAAACATAACATATTTTTCTTAAATATATACATGCATCTGTGTATTTATATATACCTAATAAATATACACAGTACACACACATATATTATGTACACAAAAACTTTTATTTTGGATGCCCAGCACTACTTTATTTATAAGAGTACAGTTTGATCAAAGAAGGATTTCTGCCTCTAACCTTATGAACCCAGTCTTTCATAGCCACGTCGCCCATGCATTTGTCCAGCGCGTTGGCTGACAGCACCAAAATGAAGTTGCGTGCTCGCTGTACACTCGTGATCAGTTTCTCCTCGAACCTGCCAGCTTCCAGTTTCTCCACGTCGATGAAGACGCTGAAACCACGCAATTGTAGATGCACCTTCAGTAGGCTGCAGAGAAAGAGAAAAACAGGAGACGTAGGGTTTATTATTTCAACCAATAACTGGCCAATATTAAAATTCTATACTACTTTGTGTAAATACATGAAAAAATATAGCTGCAAGCAGCAATTACCGGGGTTCAAGCAGTTAAGGCATTTAAGCACATAAGGAAAAAGATTTTGTTAACATGGCTGTAACCACTTAAATCAATGACATAATTGCTAAAAATAGCATTTTGGGCAAATGCAGGTAGGTAATTTACCAAAGAAATATGATGATTTTTAACATGTATGACTGTTGTAGCACCACCTATGGTCCGATCACCATGAAACTTTGCATGCTTGTTAAGAGTCATCAGTCACATGTTTTCACCAAGTTTCGTAAAGTTTTGAGTTTTCGCACTTGAGATTTGCACTTTTTATAGGCTTTTGGGTATATGTAGCCACACCCCTTTTCTAAATGACCCCATGATAGCTAACCAAAGGACAAAATTTAACATGATAATTATTGATCTAGGGAGTCCAGAGAATTGTTCTGTTGTGGTTTGATCGACATTGAGCGAAAAACCTAGGACTAGTTTGCAAAAGTAGGTTTTTAACGTAATTGAGAATATTTAGTGAACGATTTGATTGACAGCATTAGTCCCAGAGACAAAGTTGTTCAGAATGAGGAGTTCTATGATATGATATGAAGATCTAGTGTATGTGTGAATATATGAACATGTTCTACAATTTGAGGTCATTTTATATACAAATATTGTGTATTTGAGGCCTTTTTAACTGTTATAGCGCCAACTATGGTCCGATATCCATTAAACTTTGCATGCTTGTTAAGAGTCATCTGACACATGTTTTCACCAAGTTTTATAAAGTTTTGAGTTTTTGTTTAGGTTTTATAGGCTTTTGGGTATATCTGGCCACACCCCTTTTCTAAATGACCCCGTTATAAGTAACCAAAAGACAAAATTCAACATTTTTTTGATAATTATTGATCTAGAGAGTCCAGAGAATATTACTGCAGTGGTTTGATCGAGATTGAGCGAAAAACCTAGGACTAGTTCAAAAAAGTAGGTTTTTAACATATTCGTGAATAATTAATGAACGATTTGATTGACAGCAATGGTTCTTGAGGCAAAGTTGTGCATTATGAGGAGATCTATCAAATGATATGCATATTGTGTGGATATGTGAAACAACACGTGATTACAGAGCCAAAAAA